CAAACAAATGGGATTATATCAAACTAACAAGCTTCTACACAGCAAAGAAAACAATCAACAGAGTGAACACACAACCTCAGAATGGAAGAAAGGGAGAAAATATCTGCAAACTATGCATCCTACAAGGGATTAATATCCAGAATATACAAGGAACTCAAAGAACTTTAGAGCAAGATAATAATAATAATAGTAATACAATTAAAAAATGGGCAAAGTAACTGAATGACATCTCTCAAAGGAGGACATACAAATAGCCAACAGGTACATGAAAAAATGCTCAACATCACTAAAGATCAGGGAAATACAAATCAAAACCATACTGATATATCATCTCACCCCAATTAGACTGGCTAATATACAAAAGACAGAGAATAACAAATACTGGCAAGGATGCAGAGAAAGGGAAATCCCTCGGCACTGTTGTTGGGCCTTTAAACTAGCACATTATATAGAAAAGGATGGCAGTTACTTAAACAACTACAGACAGAACTACGATATGATCCAGCCATCACACTACTGGGTATACATCCAAAGGAATGGTGTATTAATGTGTTTCTGTTGCTTATGGTAAAATACACAGAACTGGGTATTTTGTAAAGAAAAGGAAATTTATTGCTTACAGTTTCTGAGGGCAGAAGTCCGAAGTCCAGGGAATACATTTGGTGAAGGCTATCTTTGGTGGTGACTTCGGTGACAGCAGAATATCACACTGCAAAAGTGGTGGAGCAGAGACAGTGAGAGAGAGAGAGAGAGAGAGAGAGAGAGAGAGACTCTCCCCTCTCTTCTTTTAAAGCCCTCTGAACCATGCCCCTCACCACCACTTTTAATCCATTCACTACGGCAGGGTCCTTCAATCTAATCACCTCTTCAAGGCTCCACCTCTCAATTGCCGTATTAGGATTTCCCACCCTCTTAAAGTCACGGTAGGGGCAAGTTTCTAATACATAAAACGTAGGGGACACAATTCAAGCTTCAGTGAGCTTCAATCCACTACAAATGGAAATCATCATGTTAAAGTGATACCTGCAATCCCATTTTTACTGCAGCTCTATTTACAATAGCCAGGCTATAGAACCAACCTAAATCTCCATCAATGAGTGACTGGATAAGGAAAATGTGGCATGTATACACAATAGAATACTACCCAGCCACAATAAAGAATGAAAGTATGCCATTTGAAGCAACATAGATGAGCTTGGAGAAAATTATAAGTGACACAACCCAAGTACAGAAAGAAAAATACCACATGTCCTCACTCATAAGTATTAGCTGTATTCATAAATAAACAAGTAAACAATAAGGAGAGAGAGAGAGAGAGAAACAGTGATCACAATATGTTGATTTTCTAGAAGAAGAGAATAGAACTGTGGTTACTAGACAAGAAACAGGGAAGGGAGAAGAGAGGGAGGGTGGTTAATGAGAAATGAATGAGAAATTGTTTAACGGACACCAGGAATGATTATGAATTGTAATGATGAATAAACTAACTATCTTGATTTGACCATTACACACTGTACACTACTACCGATAGTCAATTTTGCACCCCACAAATATGTATAATCAACTATGCTTCAATAAAAAATGAAAAAAATATTTTTAAAATGTAAAAAAAACTATAATGAATCAGAAGAATTAACAATTTTGAACATAAATTAAAATTATCAGGTGACATTTTTATCAATTGATCTTTTAAATCAATGTGAAACAAAAAAAGCCAGTGCACTGTAGGTTGCTGAACTCATGACCACTTTATAAAACTATAACATGTTTGTTTCATAAAAACATGTCTGATGTATAGCTAATGTATGGCCCCTCATTTAGACTGGTTTGATCATTGGTTATACTGACTTCTAATGGTATATAACATGCTCTTGCAAACTTTTAAGTTTTCAGGATGAGAGAATATTTAGAGATTAAACTAGTTTCTAGACAATTCCTTTGATCTAACATCTAAGAAACTAAAAGAAAAAAAGACATGAATCTTGGACACCATTGGGCTTCTAGACCTACAGACTTATGTGATTAACTGTGAGGGACTTGGGAGTGGAAAATAAAGGGAAGACTTCAAGGACAACAGGACCCTTGCAGAAAAATCACAATGAGAAGGCAGGTGGCGCACTTGGCTGCACATACTCAGAAAGAGGCTGGATATGTGGAGGGGGCAGGAAAGCTGTCCCAGATGTGATCTGACTCTCTGGAAGCACCTCTGTGAGCGACTGAGGTGGATGTAACCGTGTGGCAATAGAGGTAGTAAGAAAACAGAAAAAAATTTCTACAAATTCCATGTGAGGTGTGAGAGAAAATAGAATCAAATGTAAAGTATTATTTTTCCTGATTCATTATAGAGAATGCATGTTTAAAACACAATCCACTAAGATGCAATAAAATGTGAAAACATCTTTAAAATATTTAGGAGACTAAAATTTGGGGGTATACATGTGACAGTCATCCTTGGAGATTATATAATGCATGTATTTTCTGCAAACAGACAAGCTCTGTTCAGATCTGGGACCTAGGGAAAAAATGGTAGAAACAGCAGAACATGACCAACAAATGCTGGGCTTTACTCTTCCCTGCCTCCCTGCCCATTATGCACTGACTGACCTTGTAGGCTCTGGTTGAGGGTTTCTTCTAATGTCCATGACTCTGCTCCCTGCTCCAACTTGAAGATCACCTCTGATTTGGGAATGCAGCAGCCTGTTAATAAGGAACAACACAGAACTTGGTAAACCTGCTAAGTCAGGTCCTTACAAGAATGACAAGAGCTTGGCTTCAGAAGCTGTGCGATGAAGGGGCCAGTTAGAGACTGATGACATTCACATTCTCCACTCACATTCTCCACAAAATGGAATCTTACCTAAATAGAATTCAACCCTATAAGTGGTTCCTATATTTATCAACAAAGAAGAAAGTGGTGCTCCTAGGACTTACTATGGAGTTTCACTCACCCAACACCACCAGGCTGCTATAGGTCTCCAGCATCACATCCCTGCACAGGCTCCTCTGATCATCATCCAGGTACTGCCACTCCTCCCAGGTGAAGTCCA